TATTTTAAAAATTAAAAATATATTAATGATAAATATTATTTTATTATTCTATATAATTTTTTTAACTGTTAAAATTTTTCTATATTAATTTTTTTTAAATTTTTCTTTTACCCTCCTTTTCAAAGTTTCAAATAAAGTTTAGGGTGTGTTTAGATGTGCTAATTAAGAATTTTTAAAGAATTCAAAATTCTAGCTAATTTAAATGATTCAATTGAAATCCATTTATTTTAAAAAATTTTCATCATTTTAATAAATTGTAAAACTTTTGAGTCAAAATTAAAACATGAAAAATAGAGATTAATTTATAATTTTTGAAAATTTGAAGGAACTAATTTGTAAAATTTGAAAAAATTTAGGGACTTATATGTAATTTTAAAGAAAATTTTAGAGGTGAATTTGAATTTTTTCATAAAATATGAGGACCATCTTGCAAATTTTAAAAAATTAATAATAAACAATTTAACAATTGCATAATATAGAGTGAAGGAACAATTTCAATTATTTTTTTTCTTTTAGGTGTCATTTGAAATTTCTTAAATTTAACTTAAATAAAATACTTTATAAATTTACATCATTTTAACAATTCTCTATATTTTTTTATCCAAACAATAAATTTTGGTCAAATCATTTTAAATTCCCTCAAAAAAAAAAATACTTTTTCTCATTAAAATACTTTCTCCAAAAACACTCAAATGAATATAGATCAAGAGTCAAATATAAAACAAGAACAATAACTTGATAATAATTCAAAATCTCAAGTCCTTATTTCACAAGATAACAATGTACAAATTTCAAAAGAGGAATACAATTACTTGGCCAATTCTCTAACAATCCTTATGCTCAAAAGAATGACCATGCTAGACAACAAAATTTGGTTAATTTTCAATTAGTCTCAAGTATCAAACATTCAAGATTTTGAATAATTTCTTTTATTTGGATATATTTATTCCTCAAATTTTATCCTCAAATTCTTTGATCTTTTGCATATTATTTTAAATCAATTATTTCTCGTATACTATCCATGTTATTAGCTAGAATGAATTTGATCTGACCTGATCAGAAGGGGATCACGGGCTGACCACGCTCTGTTGGACTGCTACCTATTCACTGATGATGATGAGGAGAAGGGGGGTGTACCTGCAAGACACTCCGATGTCAAAGTAAGGAATTGGGCAGAGTGAGAGCAAAGTACAGAAGATGGGGTAAGAAGTGAATTACCTAACCCTCTTGTGGAAGAGGGTATTTATAGAGAGACCCCAATGCTGGGTCAACGGTCACTTGTGTTGGGTTGGATTGCCAGGCCCAACCCAGGTGACTGCTAGGGCTTACGTGGCGTAGTGAAGACTAGAACGTGGTCTTCGCCCTAGTTCAACTGTCTCGTGGTCTCCAGAAAGTGGGTTTGACCTGCTTATTCGGAGGTGGGCAGTTGGTTAGTGACGTGTCCCCGCGGAGGGGAGCACGTGGAGAACGTGTGAAGGACACGTTGTTCTGCCCCACGAGGGAGCAGGTTCTGTCCGCGGAGGGCAGGTTTGGTCGAGCGGGGAGCCTCCTGCCCGACGTAGTTGGTACAGGCCTTCCTCGCAGGGAGGCCTTTCTGGCTTGTCGGGTACCTCATGCCCGACGCAGTATCCGGACTGGACAGGGCCTGGTGGAACATTATTGGGCTGGGCCCTTGTGGTCAGCCCGCGGCCCAAGCCAGAACAGGAGCCCCCCAAGTCGTTGCTCTGAGGAAGGGAGCGAGGACTTGATGACGTTATCCCGGAGAAGTGGATTGGTCCGGGGAAAGATCCTCCAGCGCGAGCACGCGCGTCCTATGTCGTCGATTGTACGGGCTTGAAGACGGGTATTGGCGAGGAGAGGTGAAGGGGCGCCTCTATCTGCTTCTGCCACGTGTCGCGCGCTGGGTGGCTGCTAGGGCGGCTACCCTTGGGTACTCGAGTGCCTAGCGACGCTTCGAGTCCCGTGCAGGGGTATAAGTAAGCGAGCCCCCGCTCATTTCTCACTTTTCGCCCTCTTGCTCTTAAGTTTCCTGCTTGTTGTCCCGGCGCCTTCTGATATCTCCGCTGTCACCACCACCGCGTCCTCCGTCGTAGATTTCATCGCAGTAAGTTTTCTTTCTCTTTCCTCTGTTTTTCTTGTTTGTTTTATGACCGCGGTCGGGGCAATTTGAATGCCCCGAGGAGAGGCGAAGATCTCCGCCGCCGTGGGGGTTTTTCTAGGGTTTTTATTATGAATGTCCCGGGGAGAGACGCTAGTTCCGATGAGTGCCCCAGGGAAGAAAGATTTTTTTGATGAATGTCCCGGGGAGGGATTCTTTACTCCGATGAACATCTCGGGGAGCGACGTCTATTCCGACGGGCGCCCCAGAGGAGGGTTTGCAGTTTGGGTCATGCTGATAACCGGGGAGGTGGTAAGTTAGGGCAGATCCACCGGGGACGATGCTAGGGGAGTCCTCGTCGCCCTTTCACTTGACTTACAGTGGAAGGGTGAATTTGATCTCTGTCATCGAATTCACCGTTACCTTCTGCTTTTCAGGTGTTAATGACTACGCTCGTCTTGGGCACAATGGTCGAGGATAATGAGACGGACGTCCCCTATTTTGATGAGCGCGCCGTTCCGATCGGAGACTGAGTGGCCGAGGAGCCTCTAACCATGCCCTCTTGCTTTGCTTCTGATCCGACATGGGCCTATATCACCGTGGAGGACCGGGAAGAGGGGGATCCCCAAAACTAGCAAGTCTACCGTCCCCGGCCAGGTCATCGAATCTGCTCGAAATATGGGCGGATGCGCTTTCCGATGTATGAGTTTTACTTCAAAGAGGCTAGGCTCAGGTTTCCATTTTCGGACTTCCGCCTGGGGCTCTTCGACTGGCTGAGGCTGGCCCCGTCGCAGCTGCACCCAAACGCCCTGGCTTTTATCAGAGTCTTCGAGCTCGTATGCCAATATCTTTAGGTCGGCGTCACGCTGCCGTTGTTCTTTCGTATTTTCCATCTGCAACGGCAGACAGTGAGTGGTCGACATGGCTAGGTGCCGTTCAAGCAGTCGAACAGGCTTTTCAGAACGTATATGGATTCTGTCCGGGGTTTCAAAGGTCGCTTTTTCGTGGTCAGCCCGATCACGCACGAAGGGGTTCGTTCTTTATATTCAGAGGGGGAGAGGATAATGGATGGTTGTCGCGAGGCCATCATGCTGCCCCGGGTGCACGTGGAGTGGTCTCTGGAACATTATTCTCGGGGAACAGGTCGGTATATCGTGCGGGCGGGGTCGCTCGATGACGAGGATATGGCCAGCTATCTGAAGATAGTTTCCTTCGTGCGCAATTTACCACCGTCGAAGCTGGTCACCCCCGATGGCCGGTATATCCTCGACAGTTACGGAAACATTTGTGAGATGCCGAGGCTGATCAACATAAAGGCCCTGCTCGAGTGTGCCTTGGAGGAGGATGCCCTGCGCTACCTAGGTGGTGGACGCCTCGTCCTTTTTTGACCTGATATCCTTAGCTTTTTATTGACCAGTTTTTTTTTTGTCGTGCAG